GAGATAATAAATGTGTGTTGTTTTAAGTTGCTAAGTTTGTGGTCATTTGTTATGCAGCCAAAGAAAAGTAATGCGACGAGTTACAGTCTCTATGAAGTGAGCATTGTGTGGGGAATAAAGCGTTGTGTGGAAGCAGTGCAGAGCATGCTGGGAACTGGAAAGACTAAATTGATTCTCTGAAACCAGAAGCGAGATAGTGGAGGTCAGAGGAAGGTGCCACCTCAAGAATTCCGGTAAAGTCTGTGGGAAGTGGAACTTTACCCGGGAGATGTAGATATGAGAACCTGTCCTACAACTGTGAATCTGATAAGGAGATTCCAACATCTTGTGTGTGACCAGACTTGGGTGGGGGAGGAGAGGACAAAGAAAATCAACTTTTCATAGACTTACCAAGAAAGATCCAGAAACAATGTGAAGAAATGTACAAAATCTTAATGAGAGACTAAAAATAAGCCTTCTTATTGAAAATATTAAATTCTTTTTCTGTAGGTTAATCTACAAAGTTAATGTAATTCCGACAATTTTAATGGAGTTTTATTTGGAATTTGACAAAATAATTCTAAATTATTGAGAAGAATGATCACTTAAGAGCAGCTAATATATTTCTTGAAAAAGAAGAGTAATGAGGGAGACTGTCTTATCAGAGAATAAAACACATCTGAAAACTATGATAATTGTAATTGTACAGGACTAGTTCAGGAATGGGCAGGCGGATGATGGAACAGAAGAATGGAAGTCCAGAACAAGCCCGAGGACACGTGTGTGCGCACCGCTGTGCACTCGTGCTGTCTCGGTGTCTAAGATTTTAGATCACTGGGGAGAGACCGGGTAGTCTATAAATGGTGTTGGGGAAAGTGACCAGCCAATTGGGGCAGACTTTATCACTCCCTCATGCACACCACACACAGAAATTAACTCTGATTAACTTCATATTTAATTGTAAAAGATGGAACTTTATAAATTAAAATACGGGTGAATAATTTTCGTGTCCTGAGGGGTGGAGAAGGCATTTCTAAGCATGATCCCAAAGCCAAGGGTCGTGAAAGAAAGGATAGTTACAGCTGATCACACAGACAGTGAGATCTTCCGTATGGTATAAAATTACACAAAAAACTTGAAAGGCAAACAAATAGAGAAAAGAATGTGTAACATAAATGCCAGGTATTGTTAAGCTTTGGGCCTGAGAGGGCCAAACAGAAAAAGATAACTAAGTGGAACCGTGAGGCAAGGCTAGAAAGAGGCCACTGTTAGAAAGAGTTCAGAATGCACCAGCGCTGTGTTCGCTTTGCTCCAGGTCCCTGCTTTTCCTTTCTGAAACCTGGATTTCTCAGGTTTCTGGGGTCAGCAATGTTGGGGGCACTCCGCTGCTGGCTGGCTTCACGGTATTTTGGAGGAGATGTACGGTATGGTATCTTTATATGATTGTAAAAGCAATTCATGCTTCTGGTAAAAACGTTCGTGCTGTTCAGAAAGACATAAAGAAGACCTTATTTTGCTGTCCAAAGATAACTTCTACCTTCTCTGTATGAGTGTGTGTATCTATTAACGCACACACTCACACAAGCATGAGTTTATTTATATTTTTATGAAAATGAGATCATACTTTTTCCCAGTTCAACAATATATTGTGAATATCTTTCCATGATAATAAATGGAGATCTACCTCATCATGTTCAATGGACACACATTATTCTTCAAAATAAATGCACCATAATTAAACCATTCTCCTACCGATAAAATTGAGGATTTTTTTTACCATTATGAAGAGCTCTGTAATTGATTCCTTATACATATTTTTGGCCATGGGTCTGGTTATTTCCTAAGAATAAATTCCTAGGACAGAGATGATTAGGTAGTTATCCCCGGGGAAGAAAGAGCCAGACAGGATGCTCTGATGCAACCACGAGCTGTAATATTTGGGGAAGAGAAGAGACAGTGAATTTATCACAGTCACTATCTCTTGAATCTGTGCCCAGCCCAGCCCTGTGGACACCTGCCTGCGTTCCAGATAGTGAGGAGGTACAAACAGCACTGCTTCCAGACCCTTCTAACAGCGTAGGTGAGGAAAGAGAGGGGAGGCATCTCTGCTCCCCCTGATCTGGTCCAGGCTGAGAGGCAGCACTGAGGAAGTCCCAGGGCTGGCACTCTGAGCAGGGGCAGCCCCAAAGGGATTGGACTCGTCCCTATGCACAGGGGAGAACTCCGTGGGGACCTCCGCAACACAGAGCTCGGGCTTTCAGTGGCTGCTGGGGGCAGGTACTGGTGAGGTTTGGGTCATGATTCTGGCCTGATCCTATCTATACCCAGTGGCAGGTGAGACTTGGAGAAATTCAGGTTATACTATAATTACATACGGGTATAAAGCAACTCTGTGAGCTGAATGCCTCAAAAATACTGAACAGAGGGGTTGGCCTGGTGGTATAGTGGTTAAGTTCATGTGCTCTGCTTTGGTGGCCTGGGGTTTGCTGGTTCCGATCTTGGGTGCAGACCTACACACCGCTCATCAAGCCATGCTGTGGCAGCATCCCACATAGAAAATAGAGGAAGATTGGCATGGATGTTACTTCAGGGACCATCTTCCTCACCAAAAAAAAAAAAAAATTACTGAATATACACTCTATTCTATTTTTAAGCACATGTGTAAGCCTTGTCCTGTCTGTCTAATGATGGTACCTGGGGGCCTGTTCTTTCTTACCTGCTGTGCACTCACAGCTAATATAAGCCCTCTCAGATTCTCTCAACAGCCATTTGCCAACTCAGCCAGATATGATTTAAATTCTTTCACCTCTTCATTTACAATCAGATATGAGATTGGTTCTCTCAAATGAAGCCTTGAAGTGACTGATAATTATATAGAGATTATGTCTTTTATCTTTATTCTCACTTCTTAGCACAGTGCCTTCCCACAGTTCAAGTGGGTTACATATTCGACCCTGAGGAGCGACCTGAACTCCTGAGTGGGACAGTATGGCAGGTGCTGCTTATTGTCACCCACGCTCATGCCCCTTCCTGCTCACTCTCCTTCCCCACTGAAGGAAGCTCAGCTTATTTAGGAGCTAGGCAGAGACCCATCGGTTCAGCCCTTTTCCAGTCCCAAAACATAAACGATCATTAGTCAAAACCAGTCACGACAATCTCATCTTGCTTGGCCTTTGGTTGGTTGAAGGCTGGCATGTGACCCTGTTTTGGTGAATGAGATGTAAGAGGAAGTCTACTAAAGTAAGCTTAGCTTCCCAAATGAAAAGACAAGACTCCCACGAAGACGTTTTCCTCCTGCCCCTTCCACCTCCCTCCACCGGGGATGTGATGGCTGGGAGAGCTGCCGGTGATGGCTGGGAGAGCTGCGACCGTGAGATGAGATGAGAGCCGTGCGGATGCCGAGATGGTGGGTCAGCAACATGGAGAGCGCCTGGCTCCCCGAGGACATTGTGAGCAACTGAACGCCTCCAGCAGTTGCTTATGTTTATGCTTATTGCTAAGTGAGAAAAATGAATTCCTACTGTTTAAGGCCACTCTAAGTTGGGTTTTTGGTTGCGCCACCAAAAGCATTCCTAAGTGGTACATGGAATAACTAAGAGCGACTTGACCATCTAGGAGCATGAACTCCAGAGCCAGATTGCCTGGATCAGAATTAAGCTCTTCTATGCTTTAGTTTTGTAACTCTGGCTGGGTTAACCTCGCTGTGCCTCAGTTTCTCTATCTGTAAGATTGCAATAATAATAGCACCTACTTCATAGATTGTGCGGTGTAGTCCAGAAGAAATATCAGCTTGACTTCTTTATGGGGTCGTACGCCACACTGCTGTCCAGAGTTGGAAAGTTGTGTCTAGATAATTGTTAATAAAAGAATGTAAAATCTCTGCTAGCATGTCATTTTAAGTAAACTTGGATTAGGAAATAGCTTGTAAAATTTTTTCAGCTTTTCTCATATTTATAATGGCCAAATGTAAAATTGTTAGTCTCTGGGTTGGTCTAGAATGAACATTTGGGATTTTCAAAAAAAAAAAAAGCAGAGTCAGTTCACATGGCTGTCTTAGGCTTACTGAGCTCTAAGGAGTGGCGCCTGCCTGCTTCGGGACTGCGATTCTGAACAAGTTCGTATTTCTGTGTGTGGCCACCTTTTCTCTCCGTATATTACTCTTTCCTTAATTTTCTATTTTTTTCAGAAATTTTTGTAACTCCAAAAGTTTGCATTTCTGCCTCTTTGTTTCTTCTGGTTGTATCTTTTTAAAAAGATTAATCAACAAAGAACAATTTATGTCAATAAGGTGTCAAGAGTCCACTCATATGAGGAATTTAAAAATGTGGACAAAGAGAACAGATTAGTGGCTACCAGGGGAAATGTGGGATGGGGGGTGGGCACAAAGGGTGAAGTGGTGCACCTACAACACGAATGACAAACATTAATGTACAACTGAAATTTCACAAGATTGTAACCTATCGTTAACTCAATAAAAAAAAAAATAAGGTGTCATGAGAAGTATAAAGTAAGGAGAGACACCAGTCTTTGTTCTCCTGCTGTTTACAGTCTTGACCGTCAGAGTCTGAGCGCACCCACGTGCTATTTTTATAGGAGGTTATTAAGCACGAGGCGTCGGACGTTCATACCACGGTTGATGAAAAACTCGCACGTCTTCCTCTGCCGTTTCTGGGGAGCAGGCGGTTTCTTGAAGAGACCAGGGCAAAGACTCATTTAAATTTGGTGCCAGGAGTACACTCGGAATTGTCTTTTGTGGGGCATGCAGGCTTCTGACTCCAAGTGAGTTGTGTTTATCTGCCAAGTAACCCTACGGCAATGGAGTGTCAAATTAGAAGGTGAATCCGACATTCCTTCTGGGTGCCTCCTTCCTGACTCAGAGCAGAAAGGTAGGTCTAGATTCTGGCACAGTTGGGAATATGGGAGCAAGCACAGGCCGGCTCCTCCAGGCTGCTAATCACAGTGTGGATGTCATTTACCTCAGCAGGTTGTGAGCCCCCATGGGTGCATGGCACTAGATTATGAACTCAGATTATGCGGAGGCTCTGACTGTGGCTCTCAATCTTAGACTGTTACTAGAGATAACAAATCATTCCCAGTCACATCATTCTATTTAGATTCATGACTGATTCCTTTCTGCCTTCTAATTCCATAACGCTCTGAGGATGACTAAGGCAACGATGATTCCGGTGAGCCAACATTAGGTATCCTGTCCTCTGGCAACAGAAGCCCAAGTGTCTGATGAATCAGGGAAGAAGAATTTAAATATAATAAAACTACCTCAGTTTGCATCCAGTGACCTGAAACCAGACTTTTATAGACAGAGTCGTAGCATGTGAGAATCAGAAGGTAATTTAATGATCTCTTCGGCCGATTCTTCTCAAACTCTAGCATCCCCTGGATCATGTGGAGGGCTTGTCAAAACACAGATGAATGCCCAGAGTTGCTGTTTCAGTAGGTCAGGGTGCGGCCCAAGAATGTGTGTTGCTGACAAGTTCCCAGGCGAGTTTGAGGCTGCTGGTCGAGTGCCGCACCTTGAGAACCACGGCCTTAGACAACTCCTGCCCTTTACAACAAAGGGAGTTGGAACGGAGAAGTTGGCTTGACCAAGGCGATTGAGAAAACAGAAGAGCTAAAACTCAATTCAGTTCTTCTGAGTTCAGATTCATTGTTCTTCTTTCCATTCCACCATTAATGCCAAGAGTTAACTGTGTCCACAATCATATGCATTTTCTTGGAAACAGCAGGACAGTAGAACCCCCAATCTTTGCTTTCCTGCTAGGTGCCTGTTGGCTTTCGGAAGCCACGTGACCGCTTTATCGTCTCAGTTTCTGTAAAAGTGGACTCTAGGACCTCCCTCGCAGAGTGGTTGTGAGGATGAAAAGATAGTAAAGTTCTTAGAATCATGCCTTGGAAACTATTACAATTACTCTTATTAAATATTAGTTATTTCCAGTTAATTTGAAAATATATTACCAAAGTTTCACTGTATCTGGTCAAACTGGTTGGCACAAGGATAGTAAAGGTGACTGAGAGAGAGACATTTCGTAATGTGGCTAATCTTCGAGAAGGTGATTTAAAATAGTCAGATTTTAGGTCCTCTCAGTTATCGATGGCATCCGTCTCTTTCTTTGTGGGGAACGGGGAAGCCATGGACAAATTAAATGACTTGTGTAAGCTTTTAGCGCTCCTAGCCACACTGCCAGTCCTAGAACTCAGTTTAGCTCATTACTTTCTTAACCGATGCAGTGTTTTTGAACACAGCACTCTGGTACCCACACACAGATTTGTCTCTATTTCTTACTGCTGGGAATTTGGCTGAATCGTACAGTTGACAACGCACCACCACTTCGCTGTCATTTTTTCTTTGCTCCGAAAGCCTTTTTTCCTGAACACTTTTTGTTGTTATTGTTGCTGCACAGGGGAAAATGAGATGGCTTTATTTCCATTAAGTTCTAGAAACGCTCAGAAGGGTGATTGAACCCATCCCAGCTCTTCCACCCTTTCTCCCACAAAGTCTTCCTTGTCTTGAGATGAGTCAAAGCCACGGAAAGCAAATTCTTCAATTTAAAAATAGGGACCCATTTAGGGGGCTGGCCTCATGGCCGAGTGGTTAAAGTTCTGCTTGCTCAGCATCGGTGGCCCAGCTTCACAGGTTTGGATCCTGGGCATCGACCTGCTCCACTCATCAGCCGTACTGTGGAGGCATCCCACATACAAAGCAGAGGAAGTTCGGCATGGGTGTTAGCTCAGTATTCCTCAAGCGAAAAAAGAGGAAGATTGGCAATGGATGTTAGCTCAGGGTGAATCTTCCTCACCAAAAAAAAAAAAAAAAGGACCCATTTAAAGTATTTAAATTCCAATTTGGATAGTAAAAGGTTAATAATGCATCGGAAAAAATTCTAGCAGCCCACAAATCTAAGCATTGTTATGTATGAACATGAGGCTTTTATTGCTGTCAAAATTAATCACTTTTCAACTTCCAGCTGTTAAAACCCTTCTGGCAGCTCTCCAAGCAATTCCCCTACAGTTACTTTTCCTTCAATTAAATTCTGGTGCCGTTCACAGGCTCCCGTTACATAAGCAGCAACTTAAAAATGGACTTCTTGGGGTTTTCTTTTTTTGTCTTTGCTTAAAACTAGAAAAGGACAGAATATGAAGTGTGCTTCTGCGACTCTTTCAGCTCAACTTGTACTTAAACTCCAAGCCTACCAAGCGGGCAACGTGGGACTCGAGTCCCGGCGTTTATTATCAAGCCCTTCATGAGCGTGTACCGATTTGTAACAGTTTTTATTAGCCATTTCTCTCGCCTGTCCTCTGAGGTAAGTCAGTGTCCTTTGCTGTCTACAGTCCTTCCCACTTTGTCCCACTTTCTCCCCCAGAACTTGGCTGGAAGCGTAGTTTACAACTCTTCAGCTCGGGGTTTGGTCCCTGTGTTACCCCACCGCCTGTTTCCAGGGGGGTGGTTACCGTCTCGGCTCCCTTGCCCAAGGGTACAGCTTTGTCGTGGTGGGAATGGCCTTGAAAGAGAAGCTGTCCCCAGTGCCTGAAGCTGCCCAGCTTCCTGGAGCTCCTGTGGTGGACTGCACCCGCTCTGGGGTCCAGAGGCAGCTGTGGAGAGACTGGTTGGCTCCGAAGGGCAGAGGCCGTGGCAAACCGTGGCCACTTTGTTGGGTACGAATCCTCAGTGAGGTTCAGCAATGGTCCTGGTACCTGATTTATGAATGGAAATGAGTCCACATCTTCGCATTCTCTTGGCACAGAACTGAGAGCTTGCACAAGGACGTTATGTTGGAAGTACTGCCTTTTCACTCTTCATTCCTGGGATTCCAAAAGACTGGTCCTATGTCCTTTCTCAGAGCTGTGCAGGATGAAGGAGGGCTGAAGCGCTGCTCCTCAGGGACCGGGAATCCTGACCCCTCTCCCTCCCCTGCACGCGGGGGCACTGGCTCGTCAGCGTCAGCGTCTGAGTTAGTTCAGCCAGTTTCTCTCCCTGGTTTGTCTCTCGAGATTCCCTCTACGGTGCTGCCCTCCGAGTCTGGGCTGGAGAGAGCCTTCCCTGGTGGCTCCTGGAGGTCTCTGCACCTTCCTCCTCACTGGCCCTGCTTCGTGCTGTTGCTGCATGTTAAATTCTGTCATGAACAGCTGTCCCTACTTAGCAGCCTCTGTAATTTCTGCTCTCATCCTCTACTTCCGTGCAAAATTAATGTATTCCAGATGCTGCTTCCTTCCTGAGCCGTTCTACCTGATAGTAACAGCTGGTGTGAGATCTGAAACTGGGCAGGGAGTATGAAGATGTCGTTGTGGCAGAGATAAAAAAGTATAGAGGTCTCAAATGTCAAAGAAAAGTAAGGCTGCAGCGAGCACCTTGTAGCAACTGTCCGCTGCAGCGTGGCTGTGCAGCTCTGCGCTCCCCTGTCTGCGTGTGGTTGGGAAGAGAGACTGCAGACACAGGGGCAAGCTTCATTCCATTCTCATCATCCACACTCCACAGTGGCTTGTCCTTGAAAAGTTGGGCTTTCCCTGAGCCAGTCACGACTTACGACATGGAGCAAGATTGTCCAAACAGAAGCGTTGCTGGTCAGTGGACTGGGGAGTCATTGTGTCCCCTCAAGTCCTCTGAGGTGGCCTTGGTTAACCATAGCCTGCTGGTCAAGCCATATCCATGCTCACCCAGCCCAAGGAAATGGCTCCAGGGCTGAGCACCTTGGCAGGACTGTGAAGGGACACGGCCACCAAGAAGTCATCAGATTCCCTGTCTCTTCACTGCAGTTTGCACTGCAGTGAAAAATCTGTCCGCCCCTCCCTCCTCTTTCATAAATTAGCTGGTTAGTTTGCTCTCGTGTGACTGAGTTGATTGACTCCAGCCAGCGTAATGTGGATGTGACTGAGTTGATTTACTCCAGCCAGTGTGATGTAGACAAATCTGCCTGAGCGGATCGAGTCAGCATTAAGACCTGCTTTCTGACGACCAGAGGCCGAGTCTTCCTTTGGGAAGACCGCCAAGACGTCCGAGAGACAGGACGGAGGTCGTGTTGCAGGGCCAGGGCCAGGAAAGACAGCGCATGAAGCTTGGCCCTTCTGCTCGGTATTTAAGATACTTTCTCTTTGCAGGGCATTTCTTGAAAACCACCACATGCATAGTTTTTGTTAATTGGCTTATGTAACATATGCACGAGTGTTATTTTCCAGCATAAATGCCTCGCCTGTATTCTATGTGCTTGTTTCCTTAGTTGGACACTCCATGGTTGGTTTGGCCAGATTTGGTGTTCCTTAGACCTTTAGTTTCTGTGATTCGAACTCCAGACAGCTCACCAAAGCCTACCCAGTGGTAATTAAAAACAAATATATGTGCAATCAACAAGTTGGGGAAAGAAGTTCTGTTTGGAGTTAGAGTGACTTTGCAGTTGGCAAGACACCGTTACCCTAATTTATATCGCTCTTATTCCATATGCTTTCTGCTTTAAAATGTCCTGGGTTGCCTCAAACTCTGTATATGCAATATTTTCCATTTACAAAATTTTCCTGCTTAATCCATTTTATTTTTCTGAGAGCTTTTGAAAAATGATATTGGTTAGCTTCAAATTTTCAGAGCCCAGTTTTATGTGATATGATTCCTGATGATGCTAAGACCTAAAGAGATAATCAAGGGAAACTTTTAGAGCTAAAATGTGTGTGCCAGGGACTCAGTGCAAAGTCTGCCAACAGATGGAAAGCTTGGAGGAGCCGGTCTCTGTAGAGGCAGAGCCCACGTGTTTTTGAGTAGGTTCTTCTGAGACCTACAGCTTTCCACCGCTGCTCTCTGGCTCTGCTTAAATTCATGCTGCCTGCATGCCTTCATGGAACTCCTTGTATTTTTCAGAGCCGAGGAGATATGCATGTTTCTACATTTTTTTTTCTCTCCTCAATTGCAGAAGGAGAGTAGAAATGAGTGAAAACGTTGAAGATGACAGGAAAACAGTACTGCATTTGAAAACACTGTGTTTGATGTCTGGACATGGCTTCACCGTGCAAGTTGCAGAAGTCTCTATGACTCTGGGCTTGGGGCGGGGGGGCTGTGCGGGCGGGAGCTGCCCACCAGGATCTGGCGCTTCTCCTAACCGTCTCTTCGTTAGCCGGCCGTCACACTCGCCCACTTCTGTGTACAGGACTGGGGAGGAAAAGTAGGGACGGCAGTCTCAGAGGGAAGAGACTTGTCAGTTCCAGCCACATTGCCAGAGTTTTCGAGTGACAGATAGGATTGTTTTGGAGACAAATTGGCAGGCTCTCTTCATGGTAATAGGCATTGTTTAGAAGACAAATGATTTGAAGCTGTTTTCTTTGTTTGGAAACATTAGCACGGATTTTGT